CATTTCCAACTATAAAAGTCCAGGTAACATTTTTTTTTTCCTTTCTAAATGAGTTATTTCGATTGGTCTGTTTTCAAAAATTGATACATAGACGTAAATTCGAATCCTGAACCACTTTTCCCTTCACAATTTTTTGATTTCTGGTCATCTAACCCCACTTTTCACATATTTAAGGCGAACTTTTTAAATTTCCCGCCATAACTGTGGTCACATGACATCTGTCACAGTGCTATTTTTTGTTGATAGGCATGCTGAATTGATCCCACGTAACATTCTTTTTGAAATTTTAATAATAAAATATTTTCCTATTTGTTGCAAACTTTATGGCGGTCACTGTACAGGGTGGGCCAATTTGGACACTTTCTTATGGAAACACGCTTTATTTTTACAGATAGAAAAAAATGAACCCCCCACTCTGAGGCTCAAATTTCATGAAATTTTGATTGGCGCAAACCGCATTTTGATATCTTAAACCGTTTAGCCGCTAGAGGGCGATTCTCAATTTTGAGCAATAATGTGAAACCATCATAACTTTTTTGTTTATGAAAATTATTAATTTCCGTAAAAACTTTCTTAAAGCACTTTTTCAAGCAGAATTCAGCGAGGCTCTCAGTTTTTTTCTAGTTGGTCCCAACGCTGAGATATTGACCAAAGTCTGGTTTTTTTCAATAGGACAACCTATATATTAATAGCGCATTAGAAAGCTCTGCTTTTTCTGATTTCGATGATATAAAGTTCGATAGATTTATCTCTAACAGTCTTCGAGGAAAAAAATTATTTCATTTTTTTTCATAAGAAGCAATGTGTAAGAAAAGGACTTTATATCTGTAAGGAAACTGAGAAAAGTCTCTTTCCCACACATTGTTTCTTATGACAAAAACCGAAATATTTTTTTTTTCTCGAAAACTGTTAGAGATAAACCTATCGAACTTTATATCATTGAAATCGGAAAAAGCAGAGCTTTCTAGTGAGCTATTAATATATAGGGTGTCCTATTGAAAAAAACCAGACTTTGGTCAAATCTCGACGTTGGGACCAACTAGAAAAAAACTGAGAACGTCACTGAATTCTGCTTGAAAAAGTGCTTCAAGAAAGTTTTTACGGAAATCAATAATTTCCATAAACAAAAACTTTATGATGGTTTCACATTATTGCTCAAAATCGAGAATCGCCCTCTAGCGGCTAAACGGTTGAAGATATCAAAATGCGGTTTGCACCAATCAAAATTTCATGAAATTTGAGCCTCAGAGTGGCGGGTTCATTTTTTTCTATCTCTAAAAATAAAGGGTGTTTCCATAAGAAAGTGTCCAATTTGGACCACCCTTACAATATTGAGCACATTTGGATGAGCCGTTTTTTATATATCTTAGCTCAATTTATAAATAATTTGCAAAGAAATTCCATAAGGATATCTATCTTTATAAAATGTCTTTGCAATTTATTGATAATTTAGGCTAAGATATAACAAAAATAGTATAGAGCTAGAACTGACAATAATGCGATGCGCGCGACTTCGAAGCCCTGTGACCAGGGTACGGCTAATGTCTTGTAGTAGGTACCTATAGTCTGGCTAGCCAAACGGCGAACTCCAAAAGAATTTGCTGCTTTGCCAAACTTGACAGAAACAATGATAAACAAGTTGGTGACATATTTTTTTTGCTGTATGGGCATGTGTAGTATTTCGAAATAGAAAAAAATCCGGCAACATTGCGAAATGATGGATGTGGGGAGGCGTGATTATTCAGAGGCATGATTCTATTGGTTAGAGTCTGAACGACAGCACGCAGTGGCGTGGTTATTGGCGGAACTAGAGAATTTTTTTCAAATAATTTTATTGGTTTATTTCCTTAGTGTTTCCGGTGCCACTGAACCGAAAAACATGGCTGTCATCAGGCGGTGTCAGTTGAGGAGTCAGTGGGTGGTCAGTGGCATGCATGTGCAACTCTTATGGCGCAATTTGTTCCGCTAAAAGCTTGCGACTACAGACGGCAGAGGCGCTGTCGTCCAATGCTGTTGTCAGATTTATTCATAAAAAGTACAGTCCATTTGTTTTAAAAAGCTTCCAACAATGGAAAAAAAGTCGTGTGCCTCGCTAACATATAATTGCCAGTAGTACGATTAGAATTCACATTTCTTTTTCAAAAGAAATATCCCATGCTTTTGACATGTGGCAGCGTCGCTCCACTTTCACTTTTTCATCATATTTTGACAAATTTTGACATATTCCATTTTTATTCAATAATTTGAATCAGAGATTGAAAATTTTCTCCGTTCAAAGCAAAATAGTTTTATCTTGTTGTGTGGCCATGTGTGAAAGCCGAGGGAACAGAGTAAAAATGCATCGAATTCCCAAAAATGATGAGCAGGTATGTTTCAATCCCTACATTATATCGAAATCGGGATTTTACCTCCTGTAATTTTACTACTGTAACTTTTCTTTCTTTTTAGGTGTTTATTTTATGCCTGCAAAACGTTGCAATCAAAAAATCTTATTCATGATTGGATTTATATCATACTGTATAGTTAATAAAGTAATTCAAAATTGTTATTTTTGTATTTAATACATGGATTAATTAATATGTAACCCATCGGTATGTGATCAAGAGACTGTTTACCATAATTTTATTTCCACTAGAAACATATTAAACTGTTTAGTGCTAGTGGCAATGAAAAATGATAAACGGATCCTAAAGAAAAAAAATTAAATTCAAAAAGGAGCGCTTCCCGCGGTCTCAAGTTGCTGACTACACACGCGAGAGGGCGTTGTAATCAGGAACAAAATGTTTGTATTAAGTTGCCCATCTATATTATAGGTTCGAGAGACTTTTGTATCCCTTATCTATGGTCAGTGGTGTCAGTGGATATTTTTAGGTTACGCCCCAATTTTCTTCCCCCTTTCGTCTCTACCAAGTTACCACTTGCCAAACTATACTTCCTTTACTGGGTAAATTATCACTTATCAGGTACCTAAAGATAGATTTATACAAGTATGGGCCATGACCTTTTCCAAATTTTCTAGCCGGCAGTAATCAACTTGCTTCTAGTGAACTGAAAACCATACAGTGAAATCCATCAGGTATTAAATACTAAATTCGCTATTATCATATTAACTTGATAAGTAGAGTCGGAATATTTTGGCAAGTCTAACATGATTTGGTACGCTTTGCCTCGTCTTGCGCAATAAGCGTTCTGCGTCTTTTTCTATCTAATGAAGTTTTCGTATTATTACCTCTTTGTCTGGTAAAATAGATAAGTCTATTTGCCTGAATAGTTTCAGTGCCCCCATTCGATTAAAATGAATCCACGTGATTTCGATACGTTGACCTAAATTCCTCTCCCTCTATTTCTAAGAAATAGAATTATTTGTTCAATCGAAAATGTCGCAATTTCCTTGATAATTGGGGTCAACGGATGCCGTAAAAGTGTGAGGCCGCATCTATCAAAGGATGCCGAAACTTGTGTCGTCCATAAATAATGTTTTTTTTTTTTTAATATACACTGGCCAGCAAAATTAACGCACCACTACTATTTTTGAATAATATTTTTTATTTCATAATATTGATCAAATATCTTTATTTCTTGATTAAATATATTCTTATTCTAACTTAATAAGGGTATTAACAAAAGATAAAATTCCAAAAGATAACAAAAAAAAAAAAAAAAAATATTTTTTTTTTTAAAACTTTAATAGTTATTTATGTATCAAGGGAATTATGAGGGTGTTAATACCCCAGGGCAAAGGCCCGAGGGACACCAATTGCCTGTGGGTATTAACACCTGATAATTCCCGTGGTACATAGATAATTTTATTTCCTACTGAATTTACTGTATTTTGTCCATTTTTATAAAGGAATTAACCATAAACCAAAATTTCTATTTTTTGTCAAAGTTTCACCTATTCAAGGTAAAAGCGGGAGTTATGGAAATCCTTAACTCCCTTGGGAGTTATGATATCCTTAACTCCCGCGTGGGAGTTATAAAATCCTTTAACTCCCTTGGGAGTTAAGACCCTGTTCATGATTATCGTAACCAAGGTATTATATGGTTATAATAGTTCAGTAGGAAATAAAATAATTAATAACCGGTATTTCCTCCTCTATTTTTAATAATAGCACGGCAGCGATTTTTCATGTTAAAATTACGGGCCTTATCTCGTCTTAATCCAAATTATTCCATATTTGGACAATATCTCCGGTAAGCCCATTCAAAGTGTTAGAAGGATTAAGAAGCTCCTAAAAATGGTGATAGATCATGTCCCAAACATCCTCAATTGGGTAAAAATCAGAACTGTTTGCTAGCAATCCATTTCAATTCCAACCTCATTAAAATAGAAATAAGTAAGTGGTGCGTTAATTTTGCTGACCAGTGTATGAATCTGTCACTTGGTCCCCACAATTCAATTACTTTAGCCTTGCATTAAATATCTTTCCGGTAATTTATGGGTTCATCTTCAGGTTCAGGAAACTTGTGATGTCACAAGTGTACCTATTATTTGAGAGTGAAGAATCTAATTTTGGGAGCTTTTATAGATTCCGGCCTTTTTGTTGGCATGTGGTAATTTAGTTTAGCAACCTGTTGGATGCTTTGGGACAAGACAAAAATTCTTTAATTATTTATTACATATTTTAATTTGAACTTAGAAAACTTTTCAATATTTTAAGTAATTTGTACAAAGATCAATTTTAATTATTTGCAATTTATTGCTACCAAATCCGAACTTTTCGTTAAATATTGCAGATCTAATTAAAATTAGATTATTTGATAAAACTTAGTTATTATTTGAGAACTTTGAAATTTTCTATTTCAATTACCTACTTGATTTGATCAGTTCTAACTTTCTTATACTCACTTTTATTTTCAGAAAACTCTCTTTTTGCATTTTAAGTCCCTGTAATTTAATGCTCCATTTTTCTGGATCATTACCGTTATTTACTATTCGAATTCAAAAGCAAAAATTCATAAAATTCATAACATTTTATTTTTTACATCATTTTTATTTACAGAGACTATAATCTAAACTATGCACTATTTTGTACAATTAGGTACAATTCAAATTATTCAATATCTAGGTATAGAGAAAGTTTTGAAAAATTTAACTCAAAATTGGCTTGAAGAAAGCAAATTTGTGAAACAGTTTTTACGGAGTATTCATGGAACTATTAGGTCTTAACTGGCTAGTATGTATATCATTGTACGCAATGGTAAATACACTTTTTTTCTGAGCCATTTCAGGCTTGGTGAGAACTATTCCACTATCGGCGTCTTCTTCCGGCCTTTTTTTCGGATATTGCGCTTCAAACCTAGAAATTAAAAAATATTTATCAATAATTTTTCAACTTCTTGAATTACTTCAAACAATAATAAGGTATCTTTCTACAGGATAGACAAGTACCTATGTTCAGAATGTTGTAATAAAGGATGGTCAGGACCAATAGGGTTCTTCTTGTTGGCTGCTTCAGATTTTTTGTTCGAACTTGCCACAGTTTCTTTGAAAAGTCTCGATTCCAGTATGGGTTTGGTTACTTTTTCTCCATCTATACTTCCGTCAGATTTTTTACGGTCTTGGTCTTGTTTTTCACTACTTGCTTTCTTATTGTACCATTCCATATATCTAGAAAAGAGTTATTGAAATTTGATACAAATGAAAATGTTAGCTTTCAAACCTTGATGTTCTTTTTTTTGTCACCACTTTTTTATCTTTCTCTTTCCTCTCACTGCTTTGACTTTTTTCAGAATCTTTTTTCTGTTTGCTAACAGAAGGTTTTCTACTGGCAACACTCACAGATCTCAAATCAGATTCAGATCTAAAACGTGGCTTTGTTTGTTTGGTCTCTGAGCTGCGTTTTCTTGAACTCAAAACAGGCGATTCTGATTTCCTCAATCTTTGATTTAAGGATTCTGAACGGCTACGTCTGATAATGGGTTCTGTTGATTCCGATCTTTGCCTGAAAATCATTTGAATAAAGGAAATGTTAATTATTAGTAAAATCAGTAGGTAATACCTATGTCTTCCTGAATCAGTTGTTTTTCCTTCTGATCTTGGGCTTGTATCATCCAAGCTGTCTTCTGTATAAACATCTTCTGGTGAAGTTTTCTGATTCTTTTCATCATAACTATTTTCACTTTCTTCGCTCTGATTTAAGGAGGCTGATATTTCTCTCAATACTTCTTTTTTTAAACCATTCCTTGATGATTTTGATCGTGATCTTTGAGTTGACTTCGATCTAGATCTTCTAGTGGATCCAGTATCACTTCTTTGATGATGTTCGCTAGAGCTGGTGTGAGTACTTTTCGTTTTTTGTTTAGCTTCCACACTTTGATCAACACTTTTTTGTTTGTAAGGTTTTTCGAATTTTTCTCTATATTCATCTTCACTTTCCTCTAAAAATATTTATTAAGAAATTAAAAAAAAAAAAAGAAAAAATTACCTTGTATGGGAGTTTTAATTTTTCTTGGTTTCATAACACGATGTCTTCGTTTCGCCCTTGCCCTAATAATGGCTATTTCTTCATCAGACCCATCGTCACTAACATCCAAATCTGACTGCACCTTTCTGCGTGGCGGCCTAAGATATTGTGGTTCTGTTTGGGTACCAATATCTTGATCAGTTTGAGTACCTGCTGGTAACGATTGAGTTTCCAATCTCAAATCTCTTTCTCTTTCGAGAATCAATTGACGCAGGAGAGCGTTTTGCTGCCTTAGGGATGCTTCAAGAAATTCGTGCTCTGATTGAAGTTTATTTACTGCATTTGGCAAGAGAACTTGACTTCTTGACAATTATAAAAAAATTATATTTGAATAAGCAGTTTTATGTTGGGACTATTTTTTACCTTGATGCTTCAGCTTGTTGCTGATCAATAAACCTCCTCATCAGTATATCTTTACCACTATCCACCAAATAATGTTGCTGGTGCTGGTCCACAAATGTTGTACTATTTCTTTGGGGTTCTCCTCCAGCCCTGTAATTAGTTTCAAACCAAAAACTTCAAAAACACATTTCAAAAAAATGCAAAATACTTTGCCTTGTTATCAATCTTAAAATATCAGCATTGCCTTCTCTGATGTAAAACTGTTCCCTGGCAGAGTCTTGTTGGTAATTGCTCAAGTGTTGCATGCTTTGACTTTGTTGTAGTGGCTGCCTGAAAAAGAATCACTTGTTTTTCTGAAATGTTTATTGTTTAAATAACTGTTTGTTTACAATTTAGGTTATTTAATGTTATTTACTGCCGCTTGGATTTGGAAATGGTATAGATATATTTACCTAAATACAGGTTGTCTGATACCTCCTCTGTCAGATCCTCTTTCCATTTCGTGTCTTCTCAATGATTCAGCTTCAGCGTCCATCATAGCAGCTACTGGTTCCTTTTCAGCGCTCCAAGCTTCTTTTCTGCCGAACCATTCAGCTACTTGTACCGATTTGCTTTCTCTTCCTTGACCAGAACCTATGAAATGTCATTTGTTATTTTATTTATTACCCTATGATTCATGTGGATGGGATGCGGAATCAGAAGGAGCTCTTACAGATCATTTTGTAATCATTGCAAAAAACGATAATTTTAGTAGATTTAGCTGCATTCTAAAATATCAGGAAATAACAATAAACAAGAACAAAAACCAGAAAAGAAATAACAGCAGAAATCAAAATATTGTTACGAAATTACCTCGGTAGCCCGACCGGATTCTAAGAAATGCAATTGTCTGCGCGGAGAATTCTATTAAAGTAGGGCGCTAGGTTTTTCTGTTTGTGAAGTGAGTTTGAGTAAACTCGGAATCCGTAACACTACCATTATTTTATGGATGGTATTTGGACATATTGATTATATGCCAGTATCTACTTTTCCCAACCAATTTCTCCACAATATCCGCACGAGTAACTTTCCTCCGTTTAGGCACGATACATATAGTCTAGTATATAGGTATAATATTCAAGACAAAAAGAGCAGGACGGGCTTCAGGAAAATTTTAAATTCCAGCGAGAATGGATCCAAACCGTAACCTCTGAGGAACAAACCAGACTTGAGAAAATTCTGGAAGTACAAGATAATAAGTTCACGCCTTTTTTTTTTTTTTACGGATATGCGCACTCGCAAGGAAATGTCCTATCACGCTCGAGAAGCGGCAAGTGCGCGGAAATGTCGGTGTATGTTGGTCTTGAAACGGTTCAGGTTGTAACCTGCAGGGAAAACCGTCGCAGGGAGTTTATTCCACAGCGATGCTGTCCTCCAGAGATATGAATTCTGATATAATGAGGTTCTTGGTGCCTCTAGTTTGACAGTAAATTCATGGTTACCGTCTGTTTGACGGGTTCGCCTGGTAGGTGCTACTCTCGCTGGAATCATACGTGCCAACTCTTCAGAGCATTTTCCGTGATAGTACCTGTAGAAGAGAGATAAATCGCCCACAGATCTGCGATGTTCGAGACCATCCAAGTTACGAGTAAGTGCGGGGTCATTGATCAGCTTGATAGCTCGTTTTTGCACGGTATTCAAAAGCATTAAGGTATGTTTGGGTGCTGCACTCCATATATGTGAGCAGTACTCCATAGTTGGTCGAATCTGGGCTTTGTAGAGTGTCAGCAATTGGCTTGGTGTGTACAGATGTCTTGTACGAAATAGCACCCCCAGCTTTTGGGAGGCCCTTTTAGCAATATCTGCCACGTGATTGTGCCAAGACATGTTGGTCTCTGCAGTAACCCCCAAGATGTTCAACTGACTCTGTAATGTGACAGCACTTCCAGGGCCCGTATTCTCGTAACCGGGGAACAGCGATCTCTCAAGAGAACGATTACTCTGTCTTTGTCAGTATTATGGAAATAACAATATGGCTTAGTAAGAGAGAGCAATCGTTCTCTTGAGAGAACGCTGTTCCCCGGTGACGAGAATACGGGCCCAGATAGCATGATGTTTGGCTCACCGGTGCTGGTCTTTTTTGAAAACAGAGCTGCTTGGGTTTTCTGCGCGTTGAACTGTACAAGGTTTTTGTTACCCCAGTCCTCTATTATCTCCAGGTCGTTATTTATCTGCGATATTTGAGTTAGTCGAAGATGATGGAATTCACGTGCGGAAAGACCTGTGGGTGGTATGAGTGAGGAGACTACATTGCCATCGTCTGCAAAGCAATAAAGTGGATTTACTGTTTTATCTATGAGGTCATTTATGTAAATCAGGAAAAGAGTTGGCGAAAGGATTGCTCCCTGTAGCACACCAGCATTTATTTGGTAAGAGTTGGAGTTCTGGCCATCCAGTGCAACATAAATGGATCTGTCCTTTAGGTAACTTTCAAACCAAGTGCAAAATTTCGGCGATAATCCCATTGCTTTCAGCTTGTTGAGCAGATTTTCATGCCAAACTTTGTCGAATGCTTTAGATATATCTAAGGCAATTGTTCTTGTTTCACCCCGCAACTCAATCGCTTTTTGCCATAAGTGAGTGACGTATGTAAGTAAATCGCCAGTTGACCTATATTTTCGAAATCCGTATTGCTTATCGTTGATAATTTTGTACTTTTCCAAGTACTTGGTTAGGTGATTGTTCACAACTCTTTCCATTACTTTTGATATCACCGGAAGTAGAGCAATTGGTCTATAGTTTAACGGATCTGTCTTTTTTCCTTTCTTTGGAATGGGTTGTACTGCGGCAGACTTCCATGATGATGGATATACTCCTTGCCTGTAAGACAAATTGAATAATTTTGCGAAAGTTGGGGTGAGTTCGTTGGCGCAATTTTTGAGTACTATTGCGGGAATGCCATCCGGACCCATTGCTTTGTTTGTATCCAGCTTTTTTAGGGATTTTCGTATTTCTCTGTGACAAAAGGGTACCTCTGGCATACTATGGGAAACCCTTTCAATGAACGGTGGAGTTTTTCCGTTTGGCACTGTTAGGTTGGAGTTGGAGGAAAACATTTGGGCAAGCATATTGGCTTTTTCCTCTGATGTTGTGGCTAAGTGATTATTTTTATCTGTAAGTGGTGGTATGGATGACTTGGTGAAGTTAGATCCAACAGCTTTTGCAAGAGACCAAAAAGACCTAGAACTACTTGGACAATTCAGCAACCTGTTTTTTATTCTTTGATTGTATGTTTCTTTAGCGGAGTCAATAGTAATTTTGCAACTATTTCTGGCTTCTATAAATTCTGTGTGGTTTTGAGCGGTTTGTTGTCGTTTCCAAAGGTTATATGCTCTGTGTTTTTTCTGTACAGCCGTTTGACACTGGCTGTTGAACCAAGGTTTTGCATTAGCTCTACGTTTAGTTGTATGTGGGATATATGCGTCCATTCCTTAGACCTTTAAGAGACTTTTCTCAACAAAACTATGGAGCGGTTGTTGATGCGTTAGAGCGTCGGTATAGAAATCAACACCGGAGGCAGCTTTACCAGGTACAACTAAAAACAAAGCAACAAAAAGCTGCAGAAAGCCTACAAGAATTTGAAACCGACATCCGCCGTCTGGTTAATTTGGCCTATCCGGCTGGTAGAAATGAGGCCGAAAAATTTATAAATGGAGATATGGACGTACAGAGAACATAAAAAAAACAACATCAAATAGCAGCGAAGCTCTTATCAATGCCCTAGAAATCGAGGCAGCCTACAAAATTTCCGGAGCAAAGATTAGAGCCATGTCGATTCGTGAAGATAAAGAGCTAATGAAAGAAATTAACGACACCATGTTGAAGGAATTTCTGGAAGAACTAAGGAAAGCTGTTATCAGAATCAAACTGGGAAACTCAAAAAGGAGCATTAAGTAGGGGACATTTTTAGCGTGATTGTAGACTACGGTTGAGATCTACTACCTCAGAATTGATCGAAAGGGTTCCAAAAGGAAAAGAAGCTTGGGATTGGATGCGGATCAAGAACGGAGTTCCGAACAACAGCAGCTGGGAAGTGAAGAACTGGAAGAGATGAGTGACCTCGACGTAGAACCATTTTTCGAGATTAGAGAAGCCAGAGATGATAGATCAACGAAATGGAATACAGAAAAATCCGGCAAGCGAAGAAAGAAAAACCAGGAACAAGAAGATTGGCCGATTACGACTGATGCTGATCCAGAAGGTTAAAGTTTTCCTTCAAACGGCCGCTCTGCAAATTTCCATTAAGAGGAGTGCTACGAGTGCTGTGACTATCCACGAAAGCGCGGAAAAGGCAGTTGGCAGCATCGCAATCAACAGGAAACAGGAGGTATTCATTCGTCTAGTATCCATGACGTCAATTAAAGGGAAGAAGTGCCATACATACATGAGGGTATAGATCTGGGAAGGCCAAGTCGTCTAAGGCACAGAGTTCAGGTCGCAGTCCACTTAGACAGGCATAGAGATGTTTGGCAAAAGAAGAGATTAAATCATTATGGATCTAAGTGGAGATATAGACGGAAGAAGGTAGTCAGATCGGACCGATCTGATTTGAGAGGGGACAGTGGTACGAAATTGCCTCGAAAGCCCGGCCGGATTCTAAGAACTGCAAGGGTCTGCGCGTCGCGTAAACAATTTGGAGAATTCTGTTCAACTAGAGCGCCAGGTTTTTCTAGATAAATCCCCAGTCTACTGTCTACTATAAGTAACGCGACTCAGTAGCTTATTAAGTAAGTCAGTTGTAATTCGAGTTTTGTCGTGTATGTTTCGATAAATGAATTGTATAAAGTCATTTAGTTTAGTAGAAGTTGTTACTGTTTGTGAAGTGAGATTTAGTGAACCCAGAATCCATGACAATACCATTATTTTATGGATTTTATGGAGATATTAATTATATATCAGTATCTAGGATAATTTATTTCAGCCAGTAGTAATATATAATAATCTTCCCGAGGAAGTGCTTTTTGAATGCACAATTGTTTTCTCGAAGAGACTTGTATGTATATCCTATTCACAATCCGTAGTCCAAAGGTAAAGGTAAATTTATCACCTTTCCCTATCAAATAGCACTGAAAGGTGATAAATTTTACCTTAACCTTTGGAAATCGGATTGTGAATAGATAATAGTTTGTATTTACCGTTCTCCGTTGTCGGATGTTAGAGCTTTCTTGGAGAGGCTGGATGAGCTGCTCTCTCATATTTCTGGCAATGCTTCATTTTGGCGTCCACCGATCTACAGATGCACGTGACCACCCCCACGTTACCCTAACGTCAAGTATAATTGATTATGTTTGCTCTAATTGTGAGGAAAAGAGTATATCGGAATGTTCACCTTGTCGGATCATGAGCCAGTAGGTTTTCGAGTATTATGTGGTGCCCTATGTTCCGGGACTGTTTGTAGAGTAGGAAGAATTTTCTCGAAGCAAAATTATGCCCGATTTTGCCAGTTGTGTGCATCCACCTCATGGAATCATGTACTGGGCTCCCATGACCCAATTCAAGAGTTTCATGAAACTGTTCAAGAGCTTTTCAATGGTGCGTTTCCGTTTCCCAAAAGAAAAATTAAAAATAAACCACAAGAAGCCCTGATTTACCAA